TGCATTAAAGCTGTCTTGCTTCTTATTCACTCAAACATACACAGGGGATACATCTGTATTATCTTAAGTAGATCGACCCCTAATTCATGGCTAAATTGGAATGATAACTGGCTATGTGTTCCAATATAGTTTGATCAAATATTATGTCAAATTCAAGATAATGGTAATTGCAACAAAGGTTGGATTATGATCAGCGATAATACTGTACAGTCACAATTAGGAGTAAATGTGCTGTCCCATCGCAAGAGTAGTTGGATATAAAGAAGCTCTGTATTCGTTCTTCCAAAATACCCACCCCTACGATTCCCCCCCATCACGATATCAAGCTGTTTTTTTAAATGAGTCCAGTTTCCTGGCCTTAACAACCCTTCCTGTCAATCTATTCCAGATGTTAATCACCCCCTGGGTAAATCTACAGAATATTTCTTGATTAAATAGTTAACAACTATTGTTGAGGGCTACATTGAATATACTACATTGTGTTATTTGGGAATTTGCTGGCTATTGCTTACCCTTAATTAGATAAAATAAATTGGTTGTCTCACAAAGGTTACAATATACATCCAGTATCCGCCTATAATTTCTCTGAAAACCTGCAGGTATTAATGAAATCACTTATTTTTTATTTCCTATTTGTGCAGTATATGGATATTGATCTATTTGTTTAATGCTTATTCAGTTGATAAATCGTGATTCATGATTTTTGAAGCTGTCATTCAAATGAGGCGTGGATAATTCCTAAAACACAGTCGAGGGTTTTACCATTATTTTGCAATGTAAAATATCTTTCAAAATGTCAACCGCCTAGTTAGTTTTGTTTGACTGTCCTTAAAATGTCTTTTCCAAGATTCTCAGAAAACATCATTTCGTTATCCGAGTGTTATAATAGAAAGGGCAAGGATTTTCAAATTGCCCTTGTCCTTCCTCTATCCCTACCTCCACCACCCGCCCTCAGGAACTTGATCAGATATTCCAAAACAAAACCTTATCACAAGGAAATTCTAGCTATCAGCCTGGCTCAGTTGGTCGCACTCTCACCTCTGAGTCAGAAGATTGTGGGTTTCAATCCCTCAGTGGGACTTTGAGATCATAGCCTAGGCTGACACTTCAATGCAGTGCTGTGGGTGAGCTGCGTGGTTAGAAGTGCTATCCTTAAACCGAGGGTGGTTGAGGTGAATGGTAAAGATCCTAAAGAGAACGGAGCTTCTCCTAGTGAATTTTAAAATAGACCCAGATACAATTAGCTGTTCACTTCATGGCCATATGTGAGGCAGTATGTGTGCAAATTTGCTGCCGAGTTTGCCTACAAAATAGTTATTGCTCTATTAAATCCTGTGAAGTACTTTGAAATGTCCTCGCAAGGTGAAAGGTGCTGTATCAAATACAAGGATTTTTATTACTGCAATTTACACTCCTCCAATGCCACTCTGGAAACAGAACTTTAGTTCCAGCAGTGATGCAATGTAATCCCCTCATAGATGGAACAATTGACTTCTCTGTCAATCATACTTATTTTATTGAATATTTTATGTTTTAAGAATAATGCACACTACATTTAACGACATCAGATCAAGCGTGTTATATATAATACAGCTAATTTTGTACTGCGTTTAATGAAGTTTTTTCTCCCGTCTTTTAAAATGCTTTTGTTCTGATGGTTAGACTTCATTGGAATTGTCCAATCATTTTTTTTTCTAAATATGAAAACAGTGTAATTACATGGTTTCTTGAATAGGTTAAGAATTTTAGAGTTCTGACAGCAAAAGTTTAAGGCAAAACGAGAGAGAAATACTGATGTATAGAAGACTTAAGTATCTCATTAATTTCACAGCTTGAGATTATGGTAGGCACAGTAGGGACTAGAAAGATTCTGAATAATTTTAGTCAAATACGATTGAACTGTGGAAGTAATAAGAATCCTATACTGTTTACTGCAATACAGAATAAATTGTAACTTAAAGCATCAGCTGACTTCTTATAAATAATGCCATATTTTACGCTGAGTTGCTTGATCCCCTATTGGTAATGAATATTATTCTGTGAGCTGAATAAATAGGCCGAGACGTTTAGCATAATTCTTTTACGAAAGACCCGAAGGAGTGGCTGATGAAAAGTTCTGGTGACTTGTTTTCTCTACTTTAAACTGGCGAACCTTGAAACTGCAGCCCTTACAGCTTGAGACTGCAGATGAAAGCGCTGACTGCAGATTGTCAGTAACCGCTGAATAAATTGTACAGTAACCTTGCAACTGTGATTATGTATTGTGATTTGATTTGAACGCTTTGGGAAAGAAGAAAAAATGTTGTACAGTATTTGTTAAACCTAACACTGAGAATTTAACATCATGCTCGAGCAATTGCAGTGCAGTGGGTAAACATGTGCCCTAAATGAAAATCTGAATAAGACAAGTTCACTGTTTGCTGATGTCTATGGTGACAAACCATGTAAACAAGGAAGCGCATAAGTCATGCACAACAGAGAGACCAAGGTACCGGATTCTCCCATCTCCTACATTGCTGTCACCTTTATTAATCCTTTCATCTATATTATCACTTACATCACACGTCGAGGCTAAATTGACTGGTGTATTATCAAGTGGTTACTAAGAGATGTTTTACCTGGGGAGCCTAAGTAGCACTTAGTAGCAATTGTATCACTTTTTACCATTGCACATGTGAGATCAATTCATTTTGCATGGATAATGGAGCAGTTCCAATAGTACCTTGAAGATTGAAGCTCCCTATAGCATTTCTGCAGCATAACTGCACGACTCGAGTTGCTGCGAATGGAGTTGCACCGTCTTTAATTTAATGATTAAAAAAAAAGTTTAACAATCAACAGATACCATACCTGCATTGATTGCCAATTAATATACCCACCTTTACAATAATGCTCACCAGATGCTAACTGTGTTTGACTTAATAGTTGAGTGCTTAACAATAAATATCGAGGCTTAATTCGGTGTTTTTTGACAAACACAGTTGCTTTACATACTCACCCGGCAATAAACTACTATCACTTAAGTACAGCACTTCAATAGGGTACCGATTTCCATCAGCGTTGCTCAAGAGCTGAGCAAAAAAGCTGTCATGGCAACAAATAGCACAGCAATCTAAGAAACCCAGGGGTTTTGTGCCCACAATCCCCTAAACACTGAGCTCCACACTGCAGTCATTTAAAGGGAATGAGGAGGCGAGATGCTTTAATCCAGGAATGGAGGGAAAACAATCTGAAGGTAGATAATTCACTTAATATCTTGCTTTTAAAGAATCTGCTTTGCAACTATAACTCGAAATTCAGTAGGAAGGTACTTGAAGTGAATCATTTAAGCAACTGAGTCTGTTTAATGTTTAATTTTGAATGGATAAATATTAAATTGCATATTGACTGAATCATTTAGGTAGCTGTTCCAAACTGAAATACAAGGACTGTAGAATACACAATACAAACATTTGATACACCAAGAACATAATGGGTAAAATACAAATGAGCAGCTTTCTGTGGCAACAGTCACTTTATAAGCTTAATGATGGGATTGAGCAACACTACACCGTCTATTTTTCTGAATGTTTTCTACAAAATAGAGGAAAAATAAAGGAATGCATGTCTATAAATATTAATTCACAAAAAAACATCACCAGTCATAGTTATCGCTGGCCCTATAGTTTTAAAAAAAACATCTTTTTTTTATTATACCTGTGTCAGATAAGGTATTGCATAGGAGGCTTGTTGGAAAAGTAAGTTGTATTTAGCGGAGGCCCACAGCCCAGAAACAGCCCTGGTCAAAGTGACAAATGCCATTCTGTCCATCTGCGACCAGGGCTCCCTCTGCCTCCTTGTCCTCCTTGACCTCTCTGCTGTCTTCGACACGGTTGACCACTGTATCCTCATCCACCGCCTCTCCTCTCACCTCAACCTTCACGGTTCTGTCCTTAACTGATTCAGATCGTACCTCTCACCCCGTCTCCACTTCATTTCTATTCTTACCTTTTAAATAACAGTGAAACAAATAATCTTACTATTTTATTCCTATCATGACAAGACCATAAAGACTATAACTGTAATGTCCTTGATTTACTCTAGGTGAGCGACTGACATATCTTGGATTAAGATTTTAATACTTAATGCTATTTGAACTCCCTTGAATTTTTTTTTCCATTTGCACACAGCTGAGGTGTGGGATTTACAAGACTATTCCCAGAGGATGTCGTGCACTGATGGTGTTTGCAGCTGCAAAATTTGTTGGTTAAATTGACAGTTACCTACCAGGCAGAGTTGCTAGGAGAGAGAGTGAATAATCGTGACTTCATGATCAGCTGATACGTGCATTTCTTAAATAACAACCTGTGGTGCACCGCAATTTCTACAATATCTAGATTTCTGTTACTCAAGGGTGATGTGGCTCTCTATTTATTGTGTCCGATCTATCTCCTTATTTGTTCTAATGTGTCGAGACAATTTGGTTCCTTTGTTGCTGCATGTTGTAGTAGGTATTTCTGTCTTAAGGGGGTAAAGGTAATGACTTCTATATATTTATAGAAATAATGACTTCTAGTCGCAACCTTCCAGTGAGTGGGTTAATTCAGAGAGTGGACTTTAGGGGAGTTTTTGAGACTTCCAGATTCATTCTGAGAGGACAGGATCTTTGATGGTGAATGGATAGTTTGAATGCTTTTCCAGCTTCCTGAGAGAGAGGTGCATGGATTCCACGTTTAACATCCAACTATTTTTGGTGATTGTATTCAGATTAACTTGTTAAACTCCAGCAGGGTCATACGTTAAACAAAATCTGCCTGGACCATTATTTGATGCAAGTGGCTCAGTGGAACAGCGTGAAAATTTAAAGAGTAGCACAGCCGAAAGCATTTTGATCCTTTTATTAAGCTTGAGTGTTTTGATAGCAGAATGCTGTGCAGTATGTCTGTCTGCTGAGATTTGTGGTTCAATGAAGAATGTTCAAAGATGCTGAAATGAGTCTGACTATAACTGTATTACCTTAGGTCTTTCACTATGGATTCCTCACCTACAGAGATGAAGGAATTTGACAGCAGTACTGTCAAGTACCTAAAACCGGACCATCCTGAGAAAATATGGATACGAGTGCAGGGATTGTAAGTATTTTCTTTATATTGTACTCTTGCACTTTGAATACATGACGTATTATTTAGCTCGATTCATTTGACTCTCAAACCTTGCAGTCATAAAGCTTTGCATTGTCCATAAAAAAAAGCTGTATGTGTGAGGTTCTCTTTTGGAACTAGTAAATCTGAAGCAATAATCTGCCGTGCTTTGTTATTTGTCTCCTGCAAGGCTTTCCTTCGTACTGTAGTTTTAAAACTATTTCATCAATATTGGAATATGTACTGGGTGTGCATTTATAGAACTATGGGCTTGTTTAAATGTTGAATTTGGAAAGAATGCTTGTGTTCGTATATCTGGTAACTTCCAAGCCTCTTGAGATTGACACACAATTTTTTGCCTCAAATAGTTCCATTATGTCTTATGACTTATCGCACGTCCCTTTTTTCAGGTAACGGTTCTGGTTGTTATTAATATTTATTTTTTGGTACAGACCAACGAATATGGTCTTACATTGCAAACTTACATACTTCCCCAGCATTTGCAGTCCTGGTTAGAGCGCTCGCATTGCAAGCGAGAGGACCTGGGTTCGATTCTCGGGCCGGTCGAAACCTTACTCCACTGTTTACCTAGCAGTTAGTAGGAACCTGGTTGTTAGTTGATTGACCGAGTGCTTTTCCAGAGGTAATAATTTGGTCACTCAATCCACGACTGTTTGTGGGACACTGCTGTGCACAATTGGCTGCCACGTTTCGCCCACAAAATATACAGTCACTACACTTTACAGTATATTCTGTGAAGTGCTTTGAGACGTCTCAAAGAAGTGCTAAATCAAATGCAATTATATACCTATATATATATTATTATTTGGTATATTAGATTTTCGTAACACATATGGACGATATTCCATTTAGCTAATCTTTCTCTCTGTCTCTCTCGCTTTCTGTCTCTCTGCTTTTTTCTTATTACACATTATAAGGTGGTGTCAATCCAGACAGTGGTGCCATCTAAGAGGAATTACTGTGGTGTCATTCAAGAGCGATTCTTTGAAAGCACAATGTATCTTTTTTGTTCTCCCTTTTTTTTCCTACGCCCCTCGGTATAATTTAAAGCTGTGATTGTTTTAATTAAAAATGTGATTTTGTTTAAATTATCCCTGGAGGAAAATGGATCTCTGTGAGGTTCATTTGAAGTTTGAAAAACAATCTTGTATCCCTCCTAATCAAATAAATTGTTTATCTTGTCAGAGCAAATGAGTCAACTGTCTCCTCAAATAATAAATCTTTAATGAATGACATTTAGGACTTAGAATTGTTACAATAGCTTCACTTTCTTTTCCAGCTGGGATAAACAGAAAAGCATTAGTGCTGGGGTAAACTGGACTGTCGGTTGCAAATTGAAATAAATAAAAAAAGCGAAATGAGTTTTGAAAAAAAAATAGGAATAAGGCATTTGGTTATTTCACTTCAGCTTTCAGTGAATCGTACATTAACACTGCGTCACAGTCCAAACCCAATTTGCAAGGACATCTGGACATCTCCACAGTAACCTTCAAGTTGAAAAGAACATATAACATTTAGATAAGATAGTTAATGGACAGTGGGCTTTATATTTAATTAATTTTTTTGTAATAATGGCGTTTGGTTAATAATGCTAAAGGTTAAGTGGCTGTTTTCTCACTCATGTCAACTTTCTAAGAAAAACGTTGCTATTTTGTGTTTGGTTTGCTTCTAACTTATAAAAACAATGAAAGTGTCATGATGTACTCTTTGATCAAAACAGACTTTGACAAAGATGCATTTTTACATATCTGATAAATTCCTTCAATTGCACTCATGTTCTTAGAGTATTTTAAAGTTATTTAGTCATGTTGTTCGAATTTGTTTTGAAACATTCAAATAACTATTTGTTGAGAGCAAAATGACAGCTAATCTAATATTTTTCTTTTGCAGACAGAAGTACAAAAACACGTCTCAAAGGTAAGGCTGCACTGCTGGAAGTTTTTGTTTAACAAAGTTAACATATTACTTATTTTAATTTGTAAAACCCATTCTAAATTGGGTCTTGTATGAACCATGTGGAAAAAGTAAAAGTATAATATGTTCATTGCAAGGCACAAAGGACATTGTAGAAATGCATTGTAGAAAGTGCTTTTGGAAAATATATCAAATGTGCTTAAGGTGGAAGACGTTATATTATAAGAGTCTCACATTGGCGAATTATGCAGTTAAAGATTTATTGAAGATATAAAGCCTTCCAGATGATCAAAAACTCTTTTCATTGTTTCATTTAATGGTATCGTACCCAGAATTTTAGGTTCCTTTTTGCAGTGTGCATCATTGCATATTGAACTGGGACAGCATTGCTCACCACATTGCAGACATTTAAGAAACAACTAGATTCTATGATAGAAAGATAGTAAGGTCATGATTCTGGGTGAATGAGATTGCACTGGCATTTTCAGCTGAACACCTCTTGTCATTTTGGGGTAATGAGTTGGAAGTAAAATAGAGGACAGTTTCAAATTTTGCGATGTTCTTCACATAAATGTAAAATTTAAATATATTAATAAATGTAAAATATATTAATAAATGTAAAAGAACATTGCTCAAGTCATTGTTGAAGTTGCAAAGAGTAGAAGCAATCAAGAGTGCAACTATGTAAGTTAAGTGTTCATCATCATTATTATTCAAAGAAATCTTAGAAGGTTTACCGGCAAATGTCCACCTTTTTCAAACTAATGTGAATGTGAGTTATTTTTAATTCTTAGCATCAATGAAATGCTGCTTTATCTATCTTAAGTTGTAGTCAGCAATTAACACTATTGATTTGAAGTGTCTTACTGCACAGCACAGCTGAGTGCTTGACAGATAATATAAAGTTCAGGTTTTAATTGTAGGTTGAATCACCTTTGAAACTCATAACCATTTTGTAAGGAATAATGAAATTATTTGTACAGCAAGAGCAGATGCATGGAATAAATGATTAAATGTACAAAGTGCTATTACAACACATGCTATTGTTGTAAGGAACACTTCAGATTTTGGCAATCTGTCCCCACAGAGCACAACATCTGTGCTTCTATACAGAGTTCATTGCTTTAATTAACTTCTCACTCTCAATGCCTGGAATGACACAAGTACAGTACTTGTGTATCTGTACTGCTGCAGAAAAATAACTTGCTGGACTGCAATCGCTGAATGTTCATTTCACTTAGAATGCATCTTACCCTAGTTTATGGAGGTAAAATAGTGCATTAATCTAATGGATAACCATTCGTTTTATCTATGTACAATATTATGTTTTTTTTACCACAATCACAGATTCCAGAGCAAAAGGAGTTCTGTATATAGTTTGCTTACACACGGGCAAAAAAAAAAGTATTATTGTAGCACTTTCAAGAGGACTTCACTATCACCTTAATGGCTTTACAATTTTCCTCTCATTAATATTCGGAGTTCAGTTCGTATCTAATCCCCTCTTTTTCCCTATTTTCGAAGCAGCAAATCGGGAAGTCCAACTTTGGGCAAGAGATTCTACATGATAGATTGTTAGACTGATAACTCGGTTGGAAAAATTCAGAGAGAGAATAATAGAATGCAGATGTACACGCGCTTCGGGGAAAACTAAATCTCTTATTGACTTTGCAGCTACAAGTTTGTAACTTAATCAAAATAATTGGCAAGGGATTGCCATATAGATTGTTAATTAAACCAAAACATATGTAACACGATTTCCGAATGATTGAAGTCGATCATTAACCCAAGGGTAATGTTTCATCCTTTCAACATATTATTCCTAGTTTAAGAACTTGGTTTCATACCCAGCCGTGCTGTTGCCAGGTTACCACGCTCATTCGTATTTCTCCAACAAAAGCATTGTTAACTCTGGAGCACTACCGTTCACCTAGAGCGGGAACCTCAGTTCTGATATTTTTCCCATCTGTTTCACTCAAGCGGTTTTCAATGCATCTTTCCATCTGATGTATCTGATGTATGTTTTTTTTATGGAAATGCTACAATTTTGAGTGCTAAAATCATAGGACGTAATGAAGCACACAATACACATCAAACAATAATAAATTGGTCATTTTCAATCCGCGACTGTTTGTGGGACATTGCTGTGCGCAATTGGCTGCCGCGTTCGCCCACAAATATACAGTCAGTTCACTTCACAGTGTGTTCTGTGAAGCGCTTTGGGACGTCCTCCCGACGTGAAAAGCGCTATATCAAATGCAAGGATTATTATTATTATTATTATTATCAACACACATCCTCCCAGCGTGAAAGGCTATACCAAATGTAAGACGTATTGTTAGTTAACTGGCTCTTTGCTAATGTTAAAACCCTACTTGCAGTTTTGGAGTTCTGGGCATAAATAAACTTCACATCAGGTGTCAGATCCTTTTAATAGTCACAATATGTTGTTGAATGGGAATTGTCAATAATTGCTTGAAGCAAAGTGACTTGACTTCCAGCACCATCAACACTCACCACATTTTCCAGATGACACCACTAGGTAGCACTCTAACTGCTGAGATAAGCATTTGTCAGATGTGCTCTGGGCAGACACATTGCCAAAATTTGGGAAAGTAATCCCAAATTATTTATACTCGTGTGGAGTCCTGTAGCTCAGTGGTTAGAGCACTTGCTTTGCAAGTGAGAGACCTGAGTTCAATTCCAGGCAGAGGGCGAAACCTTGGGCAAGTTTCCTTACTCCACACAGAGCCTAATAATAATCCCTCCAAAACCAAAAACAATAATAAATTGGTCATTTTCAATCTACAACTGCTTGTGGGACATTGCTGTGCGCAATTGGCTGCCGCGTTCGCCCACAAATATACAGTCAATTCACTTTACAGTGTGTGTTCTGTGAAGCGCTTTGGGACGTCCTCCCGACGTGAAAAGCGCTATATCAAATGCAAGGATTATTATTATTATTACTTAGCCCCCAGACTGTGTTAGGTTAATTATTCTACTGATTGTTTGCTATCATTAAAAGATGAGGACACAAAGTCAAACTTATTGTCAAATCAGGTGTCTGTCTTACACATACTACAAGATTGCTTTGACACCTTATTTTTCTGTTCGTTACTATGTTTGTACAAACCGGTCAGCTTCCTTTAGTGAAATTGATTTATCGTCACTTCATTAAAATACAGACCGTGTAACGATGTTCAATCAAACAATTAATGCTTCATTTGAGTTTAAGGGAAAGAAGGCTCCATCAAAATTGTTTTATTTGGTATTGACCTACGCATTGAGAGGCATAAAACCCATTGCTGCTTTCTGTTTATTTGGATCAATATTTTTATTTCCTTCTTCCTCTGTTGAGCAGCAGAAGATTTACAGTAAATAAAGATTCCTTTGAATCTTTCAATCTTTGGGACCTTTTTTGGTTTGCTCTATGCTTTGCCGTCTTGGTGAATTAACTTGTCAGTTAATGGTGACTACTGGCTTTGAAGAAATATTAAATTATAACAACTATTCCTAACTAGTTATTAACATTCCAAACTTTTTAACGTTCACTCTGTCAAATTTGTGATACTTTAAAGTTAGTGCTTTCTATTTTTAAGACAACTGGAGTCTAGATTATTGAATTTAGAGCCCTTTGGTTATTTTTGATAAGCTGCTGAACTGAGAATCATTGATCTAGATTTCATTTTACTACGTTGCATTTTTCAATTTCAAGACACTATTGGACACATTGCACATCAGATAAATCTGAGTTCTTAGATACCGTAGTGATTACTTTCCATAGACGTTTACTTTATGAGCAACACATAAATATTGAGTAACTGGATGTGTGCATAACCAAATCGTAAGGTTGTTCTGTCACTCTCGGTCGATCTGTGAATCTCTGATTTCTCTCACTTTGGAGATTGATGCTTTGTGAGCTAGTAGGTGTCTTTGGTCCATATTTTAACCTTAGTCAGTTCAACTGTTAAAGACTATCTGTCTTATGTAAAACTGAGCCGTACAGACATAGAAGCTTACTTGTTCGATCACTGCTGGTGTGCGCTTAATTAGCTGCGGTTGCTCAAAGGCATTATAATTGCCCTCGACGCCCTTGGACTGAGAAGAGGTGAAGTCAGATAAAAGGTGACTATTCCGCATTGATAGTCAGTGACCCCTTGCGAAAAATACAAACTCTGTGTGCGTCTGAGCATGGCTTAGCAAGTGCTACAACTACAACAACTAGCATTGATATAGCGCCCCTCACCCAGAGTGCTAGTCAGGGACACTTGAGCAGAAGCTTGCCGATCCACACTGTCTGGGTTCACACATCAACATCTTTGTGGTCTAGTAAACAAGTTGGCTTGCAGGCTGGCAATCTAATGGTGGGTTTGTGTGTGTTTGGCCTTCAGTGGCCCAGACTGTCTGGCGTGAGGATAGTAATTAGGCATCGGAACCTTGGCAATCCAGCTTGGAGGGAAATATCTATTTTCTGTGCACAATGTGGGTCTGTATTCCCAAGCAATTTAGTAAAAGGAATTTCCTCCTTATTTGCAGGAGACTTGTATATTTTATCATCTTTATTTTATTAGGATAGGTCCTATATTCCTTCAGCATTTCCGGGGATAATAATTTGGTTACTCAATCCACAACTGTTTGTAAGACACTGCTGTGCGCAATTCGCTGCTGCATTTCGCCCACAAAACATCCAGCCACTTCACAATGTATTCTGTGAAGCGCTTTCAGATGTCTCGAAGATGTGATAAGGCGCTATATCAAATGCAAGGATTATTATTATTAGTTCACACTTTCTTTTCTCACTTGGGGTAGGCTTCAATATAAAAAAGAATAAGAATAATTTATCCATTGCAACTAGTACAGGGAGTGCCATCACCATTTATTTTAGAATATTTGGAGAACTGAAGTAGCTTATAATCGGTGCAATANTTTTTTGATCAATGGGAGCGCCTGACATATTTGGAAGCCCAAGTTAACAGTTTCCAAACCAGACTGAGAGTTGCACA